ACACTCAAATAACCACATTTGCGTTCTGTTTTGCTGTGTTCATAATCTTTACATCAATTAAAATGGAATTTTGTCCTTTTCAGCACCTTTTTCATCGGTTAAATTGATCAAATAAACTTTTGAGCGAGTAAAAAAGTCTAAGCAAACAAGTAGAGCGTCAATTTCAATCGAAGCATTAGCGTAACGCTTGTTTTCCTGGTTTTCTGGGAAACTGGCTATTTTTACGACGCAATCCTAATAAGGTCACAAGGTCGCACTCCTAAATATTGATCAGCAACTTTATAGCGGTTGATTCACGATTTATCATACATAGTAAAAGCTTTCATTAATAAAGTCAAATGGATTTAGGTATACAAGTGTATGTGTATTTCTAGGCCTTAAAGTTCCAGCATTATTTATCATGCATTTTCTTAGTTAGCTAAATTTTCTGAGCCAAATTTAAAGATTATTTGCAAAAAACATAAGCTTAAATCAAATGCACGTAAAAAGGAATCAATGCTTTGTATAGTTTGTATAATTTTAGAGTAGTGATGACGTGGTCTGCGATAAAAACTTTCTAAGAACCTCAGTAATCTCAGTCAAAAAAGTCAAAAACGTATTGGTTGAAAAATAAATCAAATATTCTTATTTACCAAAAGCCACATATTTTAGCAAGATTGACTTCAAAATACATTAAGACTTATAGAATTTTAAAACATTATCCATTTTAAAATTATCTAACATCAAATGACCCAACAGAGATAAATGAAACTTAGTATGGCAGCTTATATCAGCAAGGTATTTCGGCTGCTCATATATAGCATATGTCTTAATATTATTTACACATTATATCTGTTTATTTTCATATTATGTAGTGTTTAAAAAACGAGTAGGAGTGTTTTATCAGGTATAAAAGCACGAGGCGTAGCCGAGTGCTTTTATACCTGATAAAACACGATCTACGAGTTTTTTGAACTGCTTAAAACACTCATGAACAATTTATAAGATTTTGGTTCAACTGGAGCCACCATACACGTCACGAAC